TTTTGATGTTTTTTTTCTCAGAGAAAAAAAAACCCAAATGTACTATCAATATTGATCAATATTGATCGATTGATTGATTATCATCATGTTTTTCATCAAAAGTTCAAATGGTAATGATCTTTTTCATGAGCCTTAGCTACAACAACAACAACAACAACCAAAAATCAATCAATCAATCAATCAATCAATGATGATTGCACGTGTACATAATTTTCTTATCTCGTCATTTTGTTTATCATCAATATTTTTACCACTTATATATCATATCAGTTCGATGACCAAAAAATTAATGATGATCAACAACAACAACAACAAATGTACGCAACAACTTTCATCATAGAAAATTCATTCATTCAATCCAGGTGAGAGAGAGAGAGAGAGAGAGAGAGAGAGAGAGAAAGAGAGAGAGAGAATGGAAAATCAACACCTTGTACCTCGATAGACTTTTATGTTTTAGACTGGATTTTTTTTGTTTTTTTGATTCAATAAAAAAAAACTACGACATTCACATAAAGCCAAGATGAAAAAAAAAAAATATTTCAACAACCAATCAATCCAGGTAGACACAGAATTTATATGATGAAAAAAAATGACGGCAAATGATCAAAAAAACAAACGAAAAATAATAATAAAAAAAGGCGGTAAACAGAAACAAAAAAAAACCGGTAATCAAATACGAATCTGATCGATTGATTGGGATTGTAAAAACCAAAACACACACCGAATGAACGAATTTTTTTTCAATTCGGTAAAAGTAAAAACAAAGAAAATTTTCTTTGATTGTAAAATTGAAAGATTGTAAAAAACAACGAAAACAACAAAAATCATCAGACCTCCCATTGAATTTGAATATTTTTTTAAAGGAATATTCAGGATTTTGAAAGATTTGCCGCTTTTTTTCATCTTGTACCGCGTTTATTACAAAACACTATTTCAACTCAACTATGGTCTCAATTATCATCAAACATAATAATCTTGATCTTGATGATGACATCATCATCAATAAAATAGATTTTTTTTTCTTGAAGAATAAGTTTTCTCTGCTTTCTTTTTCTTTCTGCTTTCTTTTTCTGCTGTTTATTACAAGCTCAATAACCTCAATAAACATAACACACACACAGGTGATTTCAAGGGTCAATTTGTGACGACAATCAATGAATGAATGAATGAGAGAAATTACTTTAGAGAGTTTTTGCTGCTTGTTTGTTTCCAAAAGCAATGTCTTTTTTGTTTTTGGCAATTGAAAACTTCATAGTAATTAGATTTTTTTCCCCACCTTCACCACCACTAAGATAAGATGATTTTGCTGTAGTTTCCAGATATATTTACCTGGCAACAACAACACTACATCACTATCAGCATGATGATGTAAGTAAGTTACTGAGTGTTTGTATGCAGATTGTGATTTTCATTCGATTTTCATTTGGTTTTTTGTTACCAAATGTTTATCCACAACAAATAAATGTTTTTCAATATTGAAAACACAAAAATATTTGTCGGCTTGATTTTATCTAGTGTATGGTGACTCTCTATGGTAATATGATTATTAGTCCAAAAAATAGTTTGCTGTAAAAATGTTGTAATATTAGGATTATTATTATAAAGATTTGTAATGAGAAATCTCATAATATTTGAATGAGATTTTCATTTGGTTTTTGGCTTTTTTTTCGACGATGGCGATGGTTATTTACAACGCAAAGAAATTTTTACAACATCATTTTTTGTTAACCCAGAGAAACACAGAAAAGAAACACCTAGAGAATATTGATTTTTTTGAAATGAAAATTATTATTATTTTTACCAGAATTTTTTTTTCATTATTATGATTCGCCAAAAAACCTTTTTTTTCATATTCTGTGTTACTGTCAAGTAAAAAGCAGAAAAAAACGAACAAACAAACGAAAATTTCTAATTATCAGGAAAAAATATTTTTTTTTTCTGGTGACTTTTGTTCATTATTCTGGATTATTCGTGTTTCATTTTGTCATCATCGTCATCAACCGATGATTATTTGATAATATCATCGATGTTGAATGATGATGATGACAGATAACAGACAACAACAGCAACAACAACAACTGTGTAAATAGTCAAAGAAAACAGACAAAGGTGTGTCCTGTACGATATCGATCAGCCAATCAGAAACAATTTTTACTTTATTTATTCAACAAAAATGGGCGTGTTTTATCGCTTGCTTGTGTTTACCTACTATTTTAACCCAAAACAAAGTAGATAATATTTTCATTTTATCATTACACTGAAAATATATAGAGAGAGAGTAAAAAACCATTGGCTTGTTCTACTGCTTTAACTGATAAAACGGGGCAATGGCAAAAACAAACACATTCATTCATTCAATTGTGAACACATTCTGTAAATTGGAAGAAGCATTACGATTTTATGAACCAAATTTTCTCAAACAACAACACTACATCACTATCAGCATGATGATGTAAGTAAGTTACTGAGTTTGTGTGTATGCAGATTGTGATTTTCATTCGATTCATTTGGATACCTATGTTTATCCACAACAAATGTTTTTCAATATTGAAAACACAAAAATATTTGTCGGCATATTTATTGACTTTATCTTGTGTGTGTGTGAGTGTATGACTCTCTATGGTAATAATATTATTAGTTTGCTGTAAAAAATGTTGTAATATTAGGATTTTTATAGAGATTTATAATGAAAATATTTGAATGAGATTTTCATTTGGTTTTTGGTTTTTTTTTCGACGGTGGCGATGGTTATTTACAACGCAAAGAAATTTTTACAACATCATTTTTGTTAACCCAGAGAAACACTGGAATATTGATTTTTTTTGAAATGAAAATTATTATTTTTTACCAGAATTTTTTTTCATTATTATGATTCGCAAAAAAACCTTTTTTTCATATTCTTCTGTGTTACTGTCAAGTGAAAGAAAAGCAGAAAAAAAACAAACAAACGAAAATTTCTAATTATCAGGAAAAAATATTTTTTTCCTGGTGACTTTTTTTTTGTTGTTCATTATTCTGGATTATTCGTGTTTCATTTTGTCATCGTCATCAACCGATGATTATTTGATAATATCGATGTTGAATGATGATGATGATAACAGATAACAGACAACAGACAACAGACAACAACTGTGTAAATAGACAAAAACACACAAAAGGTGTGTCCTGTACGATATCGATCAACCAATCAGAAACAATTTTTACTTTATTTATTCAACAAAAATGGGCGTGTTTTTGAACGCTTATCGTTTGCTTGTGTTTGCCTTTCCCTACTATTTTAACCCAAAACAAAGTAGTAGATAATATTTTTATCATTACACCGAAAATATATATATATAGAGAGAGAGAGAGAGTAAAAAACCATTGGCTTGTTCTACTGCTAAAACTGATAAAACAGGGCAATGGCAAACAGACATTCATTCATTCAATTGTGAACACATTCTGTAAATTGGAAGAAGCATTACGATTTTATGAACCAAATTTTCTCAAACAACAACAAAAAACCAGTCAAAGATAGAGATAGGGAGATAGAGTGCGCGAAATATACACACCGAGAGAGAGAGAGAAAAGTTTGTTTTTTTTATCATTTTTTGAAGTATATTTTACACACACACACATAGAGAGAGTATTTGGTTAGTTTGTTCCATTCACAATTCAGTTTTTCACATTGTGTATTCGTTGTGTTTGCATTATGGTCAACAAAAAAATGTTTGTCTCAATCATCATATAATGTTTGAAAGTCAAACAACAAAATACATCAAATACGCATAAACCAAACAACAACAAATGCTAAAGAATCCTGCTTGTGTGTACCAAACACAAATAAAAATAAGCAAACAAACAAACAAAACGCATCTCAACTACCCATCATCATCATCATCGTATAACGAATATTCAACCAGAAGAGAAAAACACTAGAGAAAAACCTTCTAACTACGAATAATAATAACGAATCCATCAACCAGAACCGAACCAGAAAAAAAAGTTTCAAACAAAAATTTTCAAAAACAAAACAAAACTTCTTCATAAACCAAAACACCCTGTATTCATAGATTTAGTCTATATAATAATAATTTTTGAAAACAAAACAAAATTCTTCAAACATCAAACATCATCATTGGATGTGTTTCGGGTGATAAAACAATATTTGCTTGTTTGTTTGAATGTTTGTTTTTAGTTTAATTTTCAAACGATAAAAATTTGTCCAACCGGATTCTTCTGTGTGTCTTTATATTCTCTGTCTGTGTGTTTCGATGTGAAAATTAATGAAAAAAAAAATATTAACCAACCAACCAACCAACCAAATCAAGCAAATCAAACTAACTGAATATTATCCAAAAACCAACAAAAATACCATCAAATATTTGTTTGTTTGTTTGCTGTGTACAAACAATCAAACATCACCCAATTCAAACAAACAAACAAACAAGCAAACATTCAAATGATGAACAGAATAATGAAAATTTATTCATCATCATCATCATCTTAAATTAAGTAATATTCCTTCAATAAAAATAATAATCAACAAAAATTCAACAACTTAAATCATCTTAAACAAGCATCACACACACACTTTGTAAACATTATCTTTATTTTTAAATTCAGTGAAATAAATGAAAAACTTTATATTAAACAAAACAAACAAACAGATGCAGATCAACAACACTTTGATGCCCAAATTCATTATATAATTACAATAAACAAAGTGACAAAATTCCTTGTTTTGTTTGTTGATTTTTGACATTTTTCTTGATTTTCTGTTGATTTTCTGGTGTTTTTCTGATGTTTTGTTAAATTTTTTTGAAAGTGCCCGAATTTTTTTAAAAAAACCTTTTGAGAAAAACATTTTTTTTTTGTAAACAAAGAAATGTTGAATTATCAAGATAAACAACAACAACAACAACAATACCAAGAACAATTTGAATTACAATCTTTATCATCATCATCATCATCATCACCATTATCATCATCATCATCAACAAATAGTTATCCTCCTCATTTGAATAATAATATGAATATTGGTCTAAATAATCATCAAAATAATACAATAATAATGAGTCAATCATCAACATTATCATCATCATATCAACATCATTTAGCATCACAGGTAAATAGTTTAAATAATATGATTGCAACAAATTATTCAACATCAACATCATCAACACCGGTATCATCATCATCAGCGACATCATCGACAACAACAGCATCAACAAATAGCCAACAAATATTTGTGCCAAATACATCAATGTTACATCAAACATCGAATGGTATTATTGGTGGTGGTGGTATTGGTGGTACATTAATTGGTTTAGCTGCCGCATCAATTTCCGCCTCAGCATCATGTTTGAATAATAATAATTTATCAGCAACAGCAACACCATCATCATCCGCATCATCAGCATCATCATCATCATCAAATGATAATAATGGTGGTGGTGGTGGTGCAATAGCATCAAATTCAGATGGACCTTGTTTATCACCAGCAATACCAAACAGTAATAATCATCAACAACCATTATCACCATTATCAGCAACATCAGCACAAAATAATGGTAATCATCATTCAACATCACCATGTTTAACAGCAACAGCAGCATCAGCAACAAATATTATAACAGGATCATCATTAGGACGTTTAGTACAACAACAGCATCATCATATTGGAACTAATATTGGTCATACAACACAATTAAATAATACTAATGATTATTCATCACCACCATTATCAAATAATAATCAAAATAATCAGAATAATAGCTCAATGGATTCATCATCAAGTACAAATGCATTATTACAACGTGCTAGAGCTGATAAAACATATCGTCGTAGTTATACACATGCAAAACCACCATATTCATATATATCATTAATAACAATGGCTATACAAAATTGTCCAAATAAAATGTTAACATTAAGTGAAATTTATCAATTCATTATGGATCTATTTCCATATTATCGTCAAAATCAACAACGTTGGCAAAATTCTATTAGACATTCATTAAGTTTTAATGATTGTTTTCTAAAAGTACCACGTACACCAGATAAACCTGGTAAAGGAAGTTTTTGGACTCTTCATCCTGAATCGGGTAATATGTTTGAAAATGGTTGTTATTTACGAAGACAAAAACGTTTTAAATGTGACAAAAAAGATGGTTCAACAACATCATCATCATCACAAACATCATCATCAACACATAATCATCGACATCATCATCATCATCATAAAAATACAAATAGTAATTTATCATCAAATAGTAGTAATGGTGGTAATCATTCAAATAAATCATCATCAATTGATGCAACAGCAACAGCAGCAACAAATATGACATCATTACATTCAACAATGAATGGTATAATGAATAATTCATATATACAACATCAACTTGAACAACATCATCAACAACAACAACAACAACAACAACAGCAACAACAACAAAGACATCAATTAAATGGTTTAAATCATAATCAAACAACATTAGATGATCATTGTACAAAAATGTTGGATAATAATAATCAACATTTACATCAACAACAGCAACATCATTCGCATCAACAACAACAACATCCGCATCATCATCAATTACATCATCATCATCAACAACAACAACAACAGCAGCAACAGCAACAACATTTACATCATCAACAACAACAACAACAACATCATAATCATCATAATAATACTATAAATGATCATATGAATTTATATGGTCAACAAGGTGTTATTGGTGGTGGTGGTAATGGTCATCGTAATACATTAACCGATCCAAATTTATTACATCAAACAAGTATGTTTTTTACAACCACAGGTCAATTAAAAGATCCCACACATTATTTTGGTCAACGTGAACATAATCCATTTTCAATACAAAGTTTAATATCAGGTGAAGCTAATATGAAAGCTGATATGAAATTATATGAAATGCAATGTAATGCATATAATAATAATCAATCAAATCAAACAAATAATCAAAGTCCATTATCACCAATGACACCATCATCAACAACAACAATGGCAAATGATTCGGCTGCATATTATCATCATGCTGCTGCTGCTGCTGTTGCACATCCATCATTATATCATTCATCATAGACAAAACCAGAAAAAAAACAACCGAAAACACCACGAAAAACAACCTTAAACAAAACCCAAATCCTCATTTATTTCATCACAAAAGAAACTGGAATAATGGAATCTCAATTCTGTAACATATAAAAAACATCCATTTTTTTAAATGATAATCAATCAATCAATCAATTATCTTGATTAGTATCAATCATTTTTCTCATCATCATATATGATATACAGAATCCTTCATTCATTCATTCATTGTTATACTTTTTTGCGAACATAGAGCATCATTTTAACCAATCAATCAATCAATCAACAAACGATATCTTTCATTAACACTTTTCATACTCAAACACACAAATACATACACAAAGAATCTTGTTTCACTCTAACAAACACCCAAATTAATTAATTAATTATTTCATTAAAATTTTCTTTAATTAACTATTGATAAATCATCAACATTAACGAGAAAAAGAAGAAGTAAACATTACATTTGTATTCTGTTTGTTTTCTTTCATTCATTTGTTTTTAATGTAAATAAAAAAAATTTTGAAAAAAATTCATAAATTTTTTCAATTTAAAATTGATTTTTTGAAACTCGGAATGATTGATTGATCGATCGATAACAAATCCTTATCAGATTTTATACAATGTAATGGACCAGAAACTTTCAACGTATAAACAAACAGCAATAATAATTATTATTCAAAAAATGATTTACAAGAAAATTTATCATTTCTGTCATCAACGAACAACAACAACAGATAATGATAATGATAATCGTCAAAAGGTCATCAAAAATTGGTTACAAAAAAATGGTTACTATAGTTACTGATGTTGTTGTTGTTTGCGGTAACAACAGAAGGGATATCGATCCATCGAGCAATCAATCAATAATGATGATGGTGGGGATGAAAAAAAAACCGTTAAACACACGTGCGTCACCGCATAAACACACACAGAGAGACAGAGGCTAAATGGTTAAAAAAAGAAATTATAATTCATTTGACAGCAAAAATGGAAACAAAAACCATTAGAAATTGATCCACTTGTGTGTGTGTGAATCGATAATAATGATAATCATTATCAAATGATGACAACAACAACAACAATCGAAAAACTATTCAGGTAAAAATTATACACGAAATGATAAACTTGACACGTGTCAACTTTTTATTTTTTTTATTCATTCATTATCTAACAAACAAAAAACAAACAACATTGATAATGAGATTTGGATCTCATGAGAAATTTCCAAAATCATAATGATTGTTTTGTTTCATTGAATTTCATGTTTTTTTTTTTTTTTTTGGTTTTTTCGGTTTTTTTGTTTTTCGGATTTGGAAAAAAATTGAAAATTTTTTTTTGCTGTTTCCAAAAACCNGGATCTCATGAGAAATTTCCAAAATCATAATGATTGTTTTGTTTCATTGAATTTCATTTTTTTTTTTTTTTTTTTTTGGTTTTTTCGGTTTTGTTGTTTTTCGGATTTGGAAAAAAATTGAAAATTTTGTTTTGCTGTTTCCAAAAACCAGAAAATGGGGGGTTAATTTTCATAAGTCTGAAATCATTCTTGTTGTTCACAAAATTCTTTTCAGTTTTTCAAATTTTTTTTCTCGCCAACAATCATCATTCACATCATTAACAAAAACATTTTGTAAATTTTTCTTTTCTGGCCAAAGTTGAAGTGTGAAGTTTGAAAAATCGAGAGATAAGAAGATAATAAATGATGTGATGAATTTTTTTGCCACCACTTGTCCTGTCTCTCCCCCTTCGTCATCCTCTCTCCCCCCTCTTTTTGCATCTTTCAACCAACCAAGGAGAAAAAACCATACAAGTGCTATCCAGAAAATGAAGGGGAAAAAAATAGACGAATTCAACTTGACTTGTTCGTCCAGTAGGAAAACTTTTTTAAAAAAAGACCACCAACAAACTCTATGGAAAATAAAAATGTTTTATTTTTGATAAAACCAGCTAGCTAGCGAAATAAATAAAAAAAAGTGAGAATAAAACAGTTAAAGGATTTTGTTTTGTTTTGTTTTGTTCAGGTTAATGATCAACACCTTTTTTTAAATAATGGTGGATGATAATTGAAACAAATGATGATGATGGTAGTCAGAAAATCTTTTTTTCCACCCCAGGTTTATTAAAAATAGATTCCAGTAATGATGATGAGAAACTACCAAAGAGAAAAATCAAATAAACAAATAAAGAAAAATTACATTTGAAACAAAAAAAAAAGGTGAACGAAAGAACCGAAAGAACAAGGTGAAAGAAACCCAAAACGAAAAATTCATTACCAAATAGATCACCTATAGATTTTCTTTCGTTCTTCTTTCTCTGTCTGTCTAAGGCGTATAGAAAAGAGAAGAGAAGGTAAGAAAAATCAACATTATGATGTGATTTGCAGGTAAAATGTGTACAGGTAAATCGAACCAGGTGCGCAGGTAGAGCGGTGGGGGAAAGAAAAAAAATTATTTATGTTTTTTTTAGCAACCGGCAGAGAGAGAGAGAGAGAGAGAGAGAGAGAGAGAGAAATCAACAAGACAATTATCATAAAGATGATGATGATTAGATGAGTTGTTTTGTATTGTTTTTTTTTTTACTTTGCAGGTAAAAAAATGATGATGATTTAGACATGTTTTTTATTTCACTTGCTAGACAGCTTGGCTGCTTTTTTCTATAGTAAATCTTTTGTTTTTCATCCATCCATCATAGACTTTCTGTCTATCACAAAGAGTTCCTGATCTACTTAGCTTTGTGCAACAATTTTTTTTTATTTTCTACGTTGCTGATGTTGTTGTAATTTGTTATTTCAATCAACCATCATCATCATCACAACGGGAACAATTAATATTTTTTTCTTCTTTCTAAATTTGATTCAGAAAATTTTTTCCGAATTGAATTTGATTTGATGTGATGTGATGATGGGTCATCAAAGTTAAATTTTGATTTTTGATTTTTTTTCAGGGAAAAAATGTATGAATGGACAGTGCAGTGTTAATGTGATTTTTTGATCTAATTTTACTATTGCGAGTAAAATCAATTTAAAAAAAACATCAGAAACAAAAAAAATTATGACGGATGTAATCATCACTGAATGAATGAATGAATGATAGTAGTCGGTAGTAGTAATATTGGAATTCTCTCAATGAATTTTGGAGAAAAATTTTTTGGTTAATTAACAGTTGAAAAATCCATCTCTAGATTGAGAGGAGAAAAAAGTTTAAATTAACAAACGAAAAATCATCATCGTTTATGATAACAGAAACAGCAAAGAAAAAGCCAGAAACTTTATGGAAAATGATGATTTGTTAGCAGCAAGTTTGTTGATAAAAATGAACGAAAACAAAAAGAAGAATGATATTCAAGTCACATCGTCATCAAGTCAAACAAAATTCTCAAACGAAAAAATGAAAAAAAGTTGATTAATTCTTGGATGTTTATTTTTTTTCGATAGAATTATGAAATTCTATCAAGAATTTTTTTTTGCACCACTATAGAATCAATGTGTTAATTAAATAATTTCCGTATAGGCGCATTAACCCGCACACGCTGACACAAACACAAGAACAAATGAACCAAATTGGCACTGATTTAATGAATTCATTTGTGAACACCAAAAAAAACAAAAACAAAACAAAACAAAACGAAAAATGTACGTGTCAACCCCTCAGTAGATGGACGGGATAATTTAATCAATTTTTTTTGTTGAGAATATAAAAGGCGTCAAAAAAAACTAAATAACCATACGGTAAAATTTGTTATTAATTTGATTATCATTATCAAATATGGTTCTGTGAAGACAATTCATTTTCGTTGGTTCCATTCCATACAAATCAAAACTGTAAACAATCAATCAATCAATCAATCAAAATATTCATCCATTTGTTTCATTGTTTTTCGAAAGAAATCTTTTCGAAAAAAATCTGTATTTCGGAAACAATTCCATTCAGTTAATTTAAGCGGGTAATTTATTCCTAGCGAATGAATGAATAACAAAAAAAAAATCCAACCACAACAACATCACAGGTGCCCACATTAATCGGTTATTTTATATATACATACACCCGGATAATTTCGGACAAAAAAAAGCGGGAAAAAAACGAGAATGAATGAATGAATAAATGGTTAATCTCTCTATTAGTTTTCTTGTTGGCTACAGTGAAAAACAAGTGAATTGTTTTTCATCATCAATATTGAAATATATCAATCATTCAGCCGAACCAGTCAGGAGAGAGAGAGAGAGAGAGAGAGAGAGAGAGAGAGAAATGATTGACAGATGTTTTGAGGTTTTTACACAAACCAGAATAATTGATTTGAATGGCAACCATATTAGTTTCAATTACAAAACTTTTTTTTTTTGTCCAAAAATATCGAGAAAAGGTCGATGTTGATGAGGATGATGATGATAATAATGGAAAACCTTTAACATTTGAATTCCATAGAGAGAAATCCATATTGAAAAAATTGCCCTAAATTGAAATTCATTTCAGTTGTTCGTCGATTGGTCGTTGTGAATGTGTTGACAAACAATATATACACTGTACTTGAAAATTTTCCAATTCGAAAATTATCAAAGGAATTGAATAATCTGAATTGGGAGGCCATAATAATAATAAAATGAATGAATCCAAACAATATTTGAATGATGTTTGTGTGAAACATATTTTCTCTCTGCTTCTCTCTCTCTCCAAATGAATCATTTGTCGATGATCAATATGATCAATATGATCAATATGATCAATATGATCAATCAATCAAATCAAATTCATTCAATTTTCATTGGAAAAAAAGCTTAAATAATCTAAATAGAATGAATTATTTTTGGTTGTCGATTGGGGTGGGTGGTCTACTACATTGTTGATCAATTGGATCGAAATAGCCACATATGATGATGATCGTTGGGGGTTAAATGGTGATGAATGGATGAAAATTCCAACATAAAATCAATCAATTAATCAATGATGGAATTTATCATCAGGTGAAAAAATAAAATATTCACCTCATTCTCTCTCTCTCTCTCTCTCTCTCTCTCTCTCTCTCTCTCTCTCTCCTTCGATTGTTTTTTCCTCAAAAAAAAACATAAAAATTAATCAATCAAATTGATTGATTTTCTTTTTTTAGTTTTCACTACCATGAATGGTTCACACCAATTATCAACAAAGAAG